AATGGAAATATATCTATAATTTTCGATAAATTTGCACTTATGCATTTTTAACTGAAAAAGGCACTCGTGCACTGATGTGCACTCGTGCTCTTTTTCAACTAGAAATGCATTCGGGCAAATTTCCCTAAAATTATCGATAATTTCCATTGCACTCGTTATATTACTATTGAAAATTGATTGAAAATCGCAAATATTCCCAAACACAGCACAGCAACACTGGATAGTCAATTTTTGACATAAAATGAATGAATGTGTCAAATCCAATGACCTATAATCACAGATAGACAGAGTATTCCATTCATAAAATACTATTTGTTGTGTTGACAACATGTTTATAGGACATGAGGGGTTTGGGGTGCAGGCGGTCCATGGTGGGGATAAGTCGCCCGATCTAAGTCCGGCCTCAACAGCTGTTCCCTGTCATGGACAAGACCCAATTGGTCCCGCCTCAAAACCAAAACGATGATATTCAAAAAGTTTCCCAGACTAACACGAACATATCTTATGTATCGGTCTTTTTTTAACATATACTAATCATCATCGCATAAGATAGAGACAACAAGATACTCTGGGCGAGAACGGAACGTATTACTACGACAATCAGGAGGCCGAGTTTAGTCTAGTGCTGTGTTGCCAAGTGTAATTGAAAGGCAGGACTTTATACCTGCGTTAGAAAGGGAAAATAAATATTCCTACGACTAAATGTGGCATTTTATTAGTGGGAGAATTTGGTCAAGATAGAAAGAATCGGACATGTTGTCAACACATATTTTTGTTCATAAATCCGTCTATCTGTGATAATAGGTCATTGGTCAAATCCCGTGTCACTGGAGTAAACAGCGTTGCCACAGTTATTTCCCTAATACATTATAAATTTACCTTATTCAGAAACTAAATAATTTTAAGAGTAGAAATAACAATTTTTTTTTAGAAAAACGCACATTCATATGTGTAGTAACGTTTTCAATTGAGATGACACCAGTGGCGGTTCCTCCATAAGAGCACATGTGCACGTGCACTCCCAAATTAATATCAAACAACTTTAAATTTAATTTTATCATTCTTCAAATTTTAACAATCTACCTGTAAAGTATTAATTTAAAAAATTAGTGGCCAAATGCGCCAGCAAAACAAACGCAACCGGCATTTATTATGAATTACAAATTATGTGCACCCCCAATATGTTATACCACGAGCCGCCACTGGATGACACAAATAAAACATGCAATATAATCAACATTCCCTATACGTTTCCAAATACAGGCGGTAGATTTAGGGCAATCCGCAGAAATTCGCCAACATTGATTTCTGGCGAAAACGATGTTTGATCGGGATAAAATGTAAACAATTCAGTCTCTCTTTTATTATATGTCTATGGGTTTTCCAGCCTGTCAAAGTTGCAAGAAAGTCAATTTTCAACTGTCAATATTTCCTAAAAAGTTAAACTTAAGTAGGTAATAAAATTTTGTACCGAAATGTATGATGGAATTAAAAACCCTCTAAAATGATGAATCACGTGATTCCCCTTCCCATTAAAGATTTTCTAGGGGGTGGCTCTGGGGGCTGGGGTTTGAAGGGGGGAGGTGAATTTTGCATGAAAACTCATCCCCTCTCAAATTATAGTTGACGTGTTTCAGGGATTTTTTAATTCCCAGATAATAGGGGTGGTAAGTTTTGGAATGAACACCCTGTATATTTTTCTATTTTGGATTGACAATAACTCATTAAACGCGCTTGACACCATTTGAGTGTTATAATAGTTATCAATGATACTAGTTCGATATGAACACCATAATGAAACGCGTGTAACGTTTAGTTACACAAGTATCATTCAAAATTTAATCTACGATGGTCCAAATAGATTTGATTTGCCTTAAAATAGCAAAAACTTTTCAAATTAAAATTCAAAATTTAGCAGATGCCCATACTATACTAGTCAGGAACCTGCTTTTTGATTTTTAAAATTTTGACTTTGGCAGCTTCAATATTGGAGTCCATTTTTGAGCCATACATTCAGTTTTATACTGGAAAATAATATAATATTGGTGATTCTGAGTTCGAAAGTTTCCCTTCGTATATCGAGACAACATAAATGAAAAGGTTCTTCTGGTAACTAAATTTATTTTTCTATATTTTTCATTTCATAATTTGAGTGTTTTTATAAATTCTTAAGCGCACTAGTGCTATAATGAAGGACCTAATGAAATTCAAATGACAATTCTAAATGTGTCATAATGACACCGCCGTAGATTAAAGGCCTTTACGGAAACGCTGATCCGATTAACCCGATCACAGGCTGTTTCTATTCCATCTTTCTTAGATAGACATGATGATTTGTCACCTTTTTTAGTTTGGTGTGAAGCGTACCGTGTCTATCTAGCATGGAAATCTACTATAAGTCTTTCTGTGCCCGATATGAAATATACTCCTGGACAAAATTATCGCACCACTACACATAAGTATCACCATAAGCAGTGGTGCGATAATTTTGTCCAGGAGTATATATTTTTCAAGAATTAGTAGGTTACGAAAGAACTTTAGGATCAAGCAAGCTTCTTCATCATGCAAAAATCCGAAGAAAAAGAATGCAAAGGATTTTTATCATTTTTATTGAATGAAGACGATTTACGAGTACTCTATTACCAACAACAAGTATGTTATTTTCAAAAATTATTCCTACCAATATTCTATTGTTAAAATAGTCAGGTAGTCTGGAAATTAAACTTCAGGAACGTCTTTTACGGTGAACACTGCATAAAAGTAAAACCTAAGTTAGTGCTATTCCACAGGGAATGAAAACGGAAACATAAGAAGAGAAAATTAAGTTGGAAGTAATTTAATATATCATTTTTAATGAGGCATCTGGTGGAAATTTCAGTACCTAGTCTGTTTTGATAAGCTGAACCTATTGTGAAGTATTCTTCGCTATATAGAAATCAATTTAAAATAAAAACCTTAAAAATTCACGCAAAAATTTTTGGAATGGTAGCATTACAGCGAGCCTGCGTATCTTGAGAGGGTTTTATCTACACAAAGATATCCACAAAAACAAACTATAGATCAAAATCTATAAATTAATACCTACATTGTTATAAAACAGAATTCCAAATGGAGAGTTCTAGATACAAGAGCTTATACAGGACCAACAGAGGCACATCTCCATTACTTCTTTTCATTCTAGAATCTCTAAGTTCCCTATTTTGAAATTTGAATGGAGACTGCAGATTTTGATTGGCAGTAATTCTTGACAGATTCACAGCTGCAAAGTAAGTAGTTGACTATAACTTTGTCTTTTAAATTTCTCACAATTTTTCAATAAATTACGTGCGACAAAATACACATTTAGAAATACCTAAGCAATGTTGACAAAATAATATTAGATTCTGTTTCGAAAAAACCTTGATCTAATTCGAGAGGGAAGATTGTAATTACAGTTGCGACAAAAACACTTGTCTATATTAGGAATAATAAAACTGATTAACTGACAATACCTTGGATTTTTTTTTATTACGAAAATTAGGTAAGCATTTTTTAATTGAAACGGATTTCCAATTAGCTCGTAACTTGTGTTGTTAAGCTTTCCAATAATTAACCTACTTTTAGGAATATTACCGGCAAAATAACATTGGGATAATATGAAAAATAAAATACCCAATTGTTTCCGTTATTATTTTATACAAACATGACATCTATTGAAATAAAATATTGGAATATTTTCCTATCCGTTGTTTCAATATGATAGGTAAAATTTCAGGATCTATACTGATTAGCATTAATAAGTACCTACATCTAAACTTTTGAGAAATAGAGAAAGTGGCGAAGTGCACTTCAACATTAAGAATAAATAAGTGAAATATCACATTAGGTTACATAAGTCATTAATAATAAAATTAAAACAATGGGTATTCATATTAATGATACCTACCCATTGTTTGTATTTTATTTTCAATATAATTGATATATCGAACACATAGGTACCAAATTCACTTCAGTTTGTTCACTTCAGTTCAGTTCAGTTCAGTTCAGTTCAGTAACCCTGATGTGGGTATCAGAAAACCAGGCATAGAGGCATAGAGGCCAGAAGGCGACGAGGAGGCAGACCGTCTCTCAAAGCAAGGCGCTGTTACACCTTTTCAAAACCCAGAACCTTTCTGTGAACTGATGCCACACGTCTCCGAAGAAACTAACAAATGGGAATAGGACCGAATGCTAGGTCATTGGAGATCCATTCCGGGTCTGAGACAGGCAAAAATGTTCATATCCATCTCAGCGAAGAGATCTGAACAACTTCTTGACATGAACAGAAGAACAGAAGAGACATTAAAAGGGGCCTATACAAAGCTTAGACATTTCAATATTTAGAAGTGCAGATACTCCAAGTAATTTGAATGAAATGAGAACAAGAAGTGAAAGAAATCGTGGTATATAATCTCAAAAACTTAGTAACCCTCTCCACACGATCCGATTAAATCCCGAAATTCATTTGGCATACTTTTCACTATCAGTAAACAACCTAATTTTATTTTGGGCTTTAAAAATGTATTTGAAGTACGGTAATGGCGAAAAACTTCCATTTCAAAACCGTCGTATATGGCGTTCACGCAAATACGGATACTCTCTGCAAACTATTAGAGACAAATCCCCACCTCAAATATGGTTAAGCTGGACCCTAAGGTATTACCAACACATAAAATATAGGAATTCTGGAATCTGATTCCAGTTTATAGGTATAATGCGAAACGATAATAAAACTTCATGAGGAATAAAGTTAGTTTGCATTGATGATAATTAGGCAGGAGTTTGCTAATGTATTATCCATTAGAGTATCACCATCTACACTATATTTATCTTTATGATATCTGCATAATAGTTATAAGGTCCGAGTTATTAGATCTGAGGGATATTTTGTGCGGAGTGTATTTTAATAGGGAAATATTAACTTTATTAAAAATAATTTCATGCCTTTGTAATATGAATATTTCTATTCAATTATATTTTAGACGCTGTTAGAAGTCTTGCAGATTCCTAGTGAAATAAAAAAAAAACTATTATATTTCTGAAGCCGCAAAGAGAAGTCCTAATATAAATAATAGATATAATTCTCTAGAAACTAGAAAAATATGTATATCCAACCTAATTAGCTGCAAAAAAATTGGAACTATAATAATTACCTATGCGGAAAAAAAAGCAAGTTTCCTTAATTTTGCCTATCACATAGGTCCAAGACCAGCAATAAAATTTTAATTTTTCAAGTGTTGATGCAGTTTTTTTTTTGGCACCTTACCATCTCGAAAATGATGAAAATTTCCATTGCGAATTTTTCACCCAGGATTTACAAAACACCGAGATGCCGTTGCAACTTGCCCCGACCTATTTTGAATCTCCATTGATTGGCCTGAGACTGTATATTTACCGATTGACTTAGTTTGAATAATGCATTTGGCTTCGTGGCTAAGCAAGCAATCCGTATGGTGAATCATTAAAGAAAATATTTAAAGCTTTTTTAATACGTGAACATGAGAAATTCCAATCTTTTATGTTATAGTATTGCCAAAGGTATTGCCCACATCTTTACTCATTTTATAGTTTTCCTTTAATTTCTCTGATCTCATAAAATTTTGATTAGATATTTTATTATATTAAAGCGTTCATTAATTAATTAATTGGATGCTCTGTGATATTAAACTAATATTAACCTAAATTTAATTCCTCAAGATCTGCAAACTACAAAGATTTACTGTTGGAAATTCGCAGTGGGAGACTAACATTCAATTTTCTTGATTAGAACTAAACATTTCCGCATACCTACACCATCGACACAGGTTTTAAGTTAATTTATTTCTGAATAATCACTGCACTTATATCTTGATTGTCGGATATATATTGATGTCGTTATTCTTCAATTCAACTCGTGTATTCGCACCCCCATGCAGCCGATGAGGGTTGTTTCCAGTTAAATCCCACGATGAAAACGCGAAAAGGAGGAACGTAATCTGCACGTTCGAAATGGTTTTTCACTTTTCGAAAATTGAAAAGGTTTCGGTGGGAGATGTTTGATTTTTAATTTGTACTTAATTGTTCAATAGTTTAAAAATGTTCATGTAATTATAGTCTCACAAAAACTATAAAATCAACACTAAGCGGAAGACATACAAACATAAAAACAGCTGAGTACCTCTCAAAAACTAATATTCATTTTTCACAGCATAAGATGACTACATTTTTGTTCCTCTATTGGGTATTAATGGCAAAAAAATAAATATTTTTTCAATAGGCAAACATTTATAAATTGCTTTTCTTTGTTGCAACGGATTTGAGGGAAAGATTAATGTTTAAAACAACCCTGTGTCAACCCTGGAATGTGTATACAGCATCCCATTTATTTTAATCTGATATCAATGTGCTTCCGCTTTTTTGACACACGGTTATTAGCGAAAACCTTCATTTGTCGTTTCTGCGTGAGCCAACATATAATAACTCTAAAGGCTCGATTTTGACCAATAAATTACATATAGATTAAAACTAATTCAAAGTTTTTTATTTTTTGAATGTCTTTCTTTTATACCTGGGCTGATATAGTTCTAAACTATATTTTCCTTTAGAAAATTTTTCAAGAAAATACACTAGGCTAGACTGAAAAACAAATCTTATTCATTTTGCAGAAATGTCTAGGCTAAGTTACATAGTTTAAATTCCAGGTAGGTAGTTACAATTTCATATGATTAAATTCGACCATAAATTAATGAAACTTGTCAAGCTTTACCCAAATCTCATTTTTATTCATACCATCTTACTAATTACTGTCCGAAACTTTTTTGTTAGTTGGAAATATTATCCTCTGGACAAACAACGGATTATATTTTATCCCACTCAAGCCGGGTTTTGTTTTAAACTGTACAATGTGATTAATTTTTGCAGTCACTTTGAATAGGTAGGTACTTTTTTTTTGTTGACTATAGTGGACGAGGAAAACTTAATTATAACAATCTAGAGATAATGTAGTTCGCGTAAAAGATGCAATAAAAGCACTAAGACTTCTAAAATATTTTATTTCCAAATATAAACTGGCAGTTTGCATCAATACTTATAGCTAAACATATATAATTATTTGAAATATGAACCTATAGAAATTATTACACTTTAGGTGTTGTGACTCTTCATGCTGCTAATTTATGTAACTACCGATATGATAAAGGGAATATTGACAGTCAAAATACTAGCAATCTTTCCTTCAAGTTTCGCATTTCATTTTACTTATGCACTTCGAAAACTTTGCTTTATTCAAGGGTTTGGTAAAAGAATCAGCAATCATTAAATTTGTCGGAACATAATTCAGGCACAACTTCCCCTCCTCAATCTTCTCCTTCAGAAAGTGATGTCGTACATCAATATGCTTTGTACGAGCCTGGTATGCTCCGTTTAATGCCAACTTCTGTGCCCCTTGATTGTCGATATACAACAAAGTTGGCTTCAAGTTTGAACTGATTTCTTGACAAACCTCTGAGCCATAATGCCTCTTGAACTGCTGAAGACATAGCCATATACTCTGCTTCCGTCGTAGAGAGTGCCACGGTTGGCTGTTTTTTAGTATTCCAAGAAATCGGGGAACCATTTTTCAAAAAAATGTAACCAGTAACTGAACGCCTGTCATTTGGATCATTGGCCCAATCTGCATCGCAATATCCAAACACATCAGAACCTGCAATTTTCTTTCCTTTAAACTCAAGCTTATAATCAATCGTACCCTTCAAGTATGAGCTGGTCCAGGATTATTGTTATATCGACTCACACAACTAACAGCGTAGCAAATGTCGGGTCTTGAAATTTGAGAAGCAAACAACAACGAGCCAACTGCTTCCTGATATGGAATGCTTTCCATCTTAGCTTTTTCTTGGTCATTCGAGGGAGAAGTCAATTTTTCTCCAACACATAATGGAATGTCTACAGGATTACAATAGACCTATCTCCCATGATTAGAAAAAGGAAGCTTCATTGTAATAAATACAAGTTAGAAAACAATAAAAGATCACATGCGCGCGCAACTCGTAGGCTGCAGTGTAGCCAGATTGTATTGTTGCAGAACAAATGTAGACAATACAAATCGAACATTATAACATTAAAGAAGTAATATAGTCTCAAGTGTTTCACAACGCCTTAAAATAGACAAAAGAAGAGCTTTAAAGTGGATAAACATCGTTTGCAATTTTATTTTGATAAATGTTTCATCCGGCAACATCGCTCAATAAAATTGCAAAGGAATATGTCAAGTATAATCTAACATAACCTTAAACGAAACTGCGGTGAGTTCAAGTAATATGTAAAGTATTAGTTTGCTCTTTGTCAAATTACACATTACAAAGAAAGAAGGAACGATTCATTCTGAACTAGCCCCTGAATACGAATATGACGCAAGCCTGTCATAAACTTGCTTCTCATTGGACGCTCACCTGCAGCCTACAAGCGACGCGCGCAGTCCAGGTGATAGGAGATCGGTCTATTATCCATATTGAATTTATTTAAAATTTTTCTCAAATAGACCTGTTGATCAATCCAATTTTTTTTGTTACTTCTATCCCTTGAGATTTGGAAACCAAGAACTGATTTAGCTGGCCCTATATTTTTCATTTCAAAATTGTTCATAAGTTGAGATATGAAATCATTCGAGAGCAAAATCATGTCATCAACATAAATCGCCAGAATTATAATGATCTCTGTTATCTTATAATAAATGCAACAATCTGTTTGTGATTGATTCATCCCAATTTTTTTTAACCATGAATCCAGTTTCTGGTTCCAGATACGACTAGCTTGTTTTAAACCATTAAGCGATTTTTTCAATCTACAAACTTTATTATTTGTATGTATAAAATATTCCGGAGGAATCATATATACTTCTTCATTTAGATCACCCTGTAAGAAAGCTGAAACCGCATCAAGCTGATCAATATCCAAATCGTGCTCAGCTGCAAAAGCAAGTAGGTATCTTATTGAACTATATCGAACCACTGGTGAGTACGTTTCTTCAAAATCAATTCCTTTTCTTTGTGCACATCCTTTTATTACCAAACGAGCTTTGTAATGGGAAATGGTATCTTCATTTTTCTTAGTTTTAAAAACCCACTTACAATTTATTCCTCTCTTCCCGGCTGGTAGATCTACTAAATCCCAAGTGTCATTTCTGATCAGAGCATCATATTCAATTTTCATAGCCTGAAGCCATTTATCCTTATCTGACCTACTTAGAGCTTCTTCTACGGTTAAAGGATCGTCACCTGCTTCAATAATAGCAGAATAAGTTACATAATCGTTCATTGCACCGGGAGGTTTTCTTATGCGCTGTGGCCTTTGAATCGAAGCTTCAATTTCAACTGGAACTTTTGAACCTTGTTCTGAACTGTAACGAACTACTTTCACCCAATTTCTGAATTCTATCTGAAAAATTTGTATCAATACTATCAATACTATCAATAGGCTCACAAGCAGCCGTATTTGAAATTCCATTTTCAATTTCAATGTTTTCTCCATACCACTGTTCTACATCAGGTTCAATGTTTACCTCTTCTCTTTCATTGTCGCTTCTATTTGGAATAGATTTACTTACAGGAAATTGAAAAAAATCAGTCATATTTTTATCTCCATTTTTTTTAATAAGTTGCATCCTTTTTCATTCTCAATAAATTGAACATCTCTGGATACAATCACAATTTTTTTTATTGGATTATATAGCCGGTACGCTTTCGATTCCATACTGTAGCCAACAAAAATGCACGGAATGGCTTTTACATCCAATTTCCTTCTTTTTTGACTAGGAACGTGAGCGAATGCTTTACAACCAAAAATTTTGAAATTTTTAACTGTTGGTTTTCTATTAGTCCACAATTCTTCAGGTGTTTTTTCAATTGTCCTACTTGGTAAACGATTTGATACATAAACACATGTATACACAGCTTCAGCCCAAAAACATTTCGGTAGCTCAGCTTCAATCAAAAGACAACGCGCTTTTTCAATGATTGAACGATTAAGCCTTTCTGCTTTGCCATTCTGTTCAGCTGAGTAAGGG